AGCACCCAGCTTGGGAAGAAGAAGAAGAAGCGGCCGACGGCGCCAGCCCCACCCAGCCTGGCAGCTCCGCGCAACCTGCACCGCCAATGGCGTTTGCGCGAGGAGGGTCGCGGGCTCGCTCGTCGGGCTATGATTAAGTCGGGCCTGTCCCTCTTCAGGGGGAATATCCAGACATAGTCAAAATATAGTCTGGGGACGATGTTTTGACTATTTTTGCCAATTAGGGGATATTTTTGGAGTATTTCTTATGTTTCGACTGAACTCCCCCTGGAGGGGGGACACGCCCGACTTGAGGTTGTGACGCTCCAGCCTGCCTTAGCCCTCATCGCCAGAAACGAACTTCGAGCACCAAGAGAGTACCGACACCAGAGGGTCTGCACGCGTCGGGCCCCAGGAGGCGACATACTTGCTCGACACTGTTTTCGATACCTCTGCGGGTGCTCGAAATTGCACGCCGGTCTATTGACAGTAGGTATTTCTGCATTCCCAGATCCCGATCTACTTCGAGCGCCTTCCTACTTCAAGCATCGACACGCTTTTGCTGTGTTCTGTTATTCTCTGGGGGGGCCTGGACCCAATCCACTATGCCCGCCTTCCTACTTCATGCTTCTGCCTACCTCTTCCGACCGACGTGTGTCCGTAAGGGCTTCGCCCCCAGGCCGCCGGCCCCCCTCTCTCCTAGATTGGGACTTGCCAGAGCCGTGCTGGGATGTCTGGGCGCTGGCGTGAAGCGATGCCGGGACTTCACGCGAGGGCCAATGTTCATTCACGAGGATTTGTGGCTTCGGTGGCGCGAATCGTGCGTAACTTCACAAGTTTCTGACCTCGGGGACGCGAATACGCTGTTGTTTTGGGGGCGGGTGGCGTCGTCAACGCAAGTATTATATGCTTTACAACGTTTATGGTCTCGGGGGGTTCGCAACTCGCGTGTGATTTACAAAGGTTTATGGCCTCGGGGGCGCGAACACGGTGTAATATGCCAGGGTTTGTGGCCTCGGGGACGCAAGCATGCTGTAATTTAAAAGAGGGTTTATGGCCCTGGGGACGCGAATCTGGCATAATTTCAAACACAGTTCATGGTTTCGGGGGCGCGAATATAAAGTTATTTACATCTGTTTATTGTCTCGGGGGTGCGACTATTACGTAATCTATAGAAATTTAGGGCTTCGGGGACGCGAATCTGGTGTAATTTTATTGTGGCTTCGGGGACACGAGTATTGAGTAATTCACAAAGGCTGATGGCCTCGAGGACGCGAATATGGTGCAAGATCTTTGGGATTATGGCCTCGGGGACGCGAACAGCATGTATTTTTACGTGCCCCGCGCCCTCCCAGGAATTCACTCAACGCGATCTGGGCGTGGTCGAAAAGTTGGTTTGGGGCTCCCCCCCTCGCGCGCTCAGCAACAATTAACAGTAAGGAAGCAAAAGGCAGGACTGTAACAGTGGAAACTGGAAGCTGCAACTGGAACAGGGAGCTGCAATCCTCATCCTCGGAGCCTGGTGGCCCCGCAGGGGGGCCGGTGGATTTCTGGGATGTGGTCCTTAAGTGCGACGGGAGCAACATCATTCTCGGGGACATTTGAGCTAGGTATTTCTGGGCTTCAAGATCCCACTCTACTCTGGGCGCCTTCCGGCTTCAATGATCGAGTGGTTGTCCTTATTCCCTCCTCTTCAGGGGGCGGGCGCGGGCGGGAATCCAATCTGCTTCCTGACCCACTTCTTCCGACCGACGGGTATGGATATACTCCCCAAACAGTGCTCGCATTCAGGGCTGCTTCTGTATCTTGTAAGGGATTGCCCTTGAATGTCAGCCTCGCGGCTGCCGTGCTCGCCGTCGCCGCCCCGTCGCCGCCTCGTAGCCGCCCGTGGTATGGACCTGAAAGTCTGGTGGCTCCGTGTTCGCCGTCGCCGCCCACTGCTTTGTCGCCGCCCGTCGTCTGGGCGTGGTTGTCGGTCCGGCTGTTCCGTGCTCGCCGTCGCCGCCCTGTCGCCGCTTGGATTGCACAACGCAGATTGCACCACGTTGCACGGCAAATAGTGCACCACATAGATAGTAAAACATGTATTATGTTTTCTAAAAAGGAGTGTTCGGATCCCCCCTGTGGTCAGCGTTCAATTTTTTCGTATTGCAATTTGCATATGGTTCTGCCCCATCGTCCACCCTAAACATGAGCTCATACCATGCCAGCCAGGCCGGAGTTTGGCCCCTTCTCATCTTTTGCAAAATATACTATCCGCGCGCTTTCGTTTAGTAACAATCAAAAGTTGTTATCCCCCCCCCCGCTCTCTTGCGAATTTTCAACAAAACCGCCTTGGTGTTTCAACATGTTCACAAGCTGTTACCAAACGGGCTTCTCGCGCGCGCGTCGAAATCGTTCCTTGCGCGCGTGCTGTCGCAAGGGTGCCTTAGCAGCAAATGGGACGACGTGCGCGCGCGCGTCGTCGCGCGGAAGGGCCGGAATCCTTCAAACACCTGGGGTGTCGTGAGGATGTCAGAAACGAGTGACCCGAATGCGCGTCAAAGCTCATGCACGGTTTTGCAACGCCAGTTTTTGTTTATGTAGAAAAGATATTGTGCTCGTGGTCTCGCGGGTCCTTAAGGAAATTACAGGTTTTCGAACATGATCACCAACTGCAGCCAAACTCGCTTTTCGCTCCGCGCGTCGAGCTCGCCCGAGCGCCTCTGCGTGCGTGCTGGGGGGGGGGGGGGCGACTCGCGTCGAATAGTGCCGCGTGAGCCACTCGCGCGCGTTGGCCGCGCGCGCGTCGGACTCCGTCGAAAACCCTTATCGCCGACGCGAGGTCATCGTAGTCGTTGCCGGCGGGCGCGATCAACATCGGCGCCCTCGTCGGCCTTGCCGTCGTCGTCGCCGCCATTGTCACCGCCGCCGCTACTCTCATCATGGCGTCTACCGTTGTCGGCGTCGCCATGCACTGAAGTGCCTGGTCAGCGTCGCCACGGCCGCGTCGGTCGCGCCAAACAAGCTGGCCGCCGCGCGCGCCCGCGCTCTTGCGAAGCCGTCAGCAACCCATCGGTGTTTCAACGTGTGTATAGACTTCCACCAGACGGGCCTCTCGCGCGCGCGCGTCGACATCGCGCGGGCGCCCTAGCGCGCGCGCTGTCGCAAGAGCCCCCGGCAAACGTGAGGCGACGCGCGCGCGTCGTCGCGCGCGTGCCGAAGTCTTTTGAAAGCCTTCCGTTGCGCACGGGTTGCAGTCAACGAGCGCCCCGACGCCATTTCAAGACGCATGGTTTTGCAGCGTCAGCTTTCGAAGGGGAAGTACCGCGCTCGTGGTCGTGTAGATTCTTGAGAAAACATTCGGCTTGTTCAGCGCTGTCATCCTATTCTGCCAAGCGGCCCTCCCGCGCCGCGCGTCGAACTCATCCGAACGCCCTCGCGCGCGCGCGCTGGGGGGGGGGGGGGGCGGGCGATCCGCGACCCATCATGCCGCGCGGGCCGCTGGCGCGCATCGGCCGCGCGCGCGTCAGAGCCCTTCAAGCACCTTCATCGCCGACGCGGAACGTCGTCATCGTTGTCGGCGGGAGCGATCAACGTCGGCGCCGTCATTGGCCTTGCCGTCGTCGCCGTCGCCGCCATCGTCGCCGCTCTCATAGGCGCGTCCACCGTCGTCGGCGTCGCCATGATGCCGCGCCCGCCCAGGTCGCCGACTCGCACTGCGGTGCCCGCTAGGAAGCGCCTAGCGGTTAACGCCGCCGCGACCGCGTCGGTCGCGCCAAACAATCCAGCCGTTGCGCGCGCGGGCATGCGCGGGCTAGCGCGTCGCCGAGATGCGCCTGCCAACGCCGGGCGCTCATCGCAATCGCCGCCTCGTGGGTTTTGCAATCCGCCACATTGCGGGTCGGTGGGCGGTTTTTTCAAGAGCAAGGAAGTTGTCAACTCAGTTGTGAAAATCAAATGCGCCGCGTAGACTCCACCGCGTTGTTCTTTCTGTTTGGGGATTTGGGTTTACCCCCCCGGTGCAACGGGGCGCCTTTGCGCAGTGCGATTTGCAAGTGATTCTGCCTCGCCGCCCATCCTGACTATGGAATATGAGCTCGGACCATGCCGGCCAGGCTAGAGTTTCCCCCCTCATCCTCTGCCCGAAATGTATTGCTCGCGCTCGTCTATCCAAACGCGTGTGTTTTGCGAGAATCCATTGCGGCAAATGGGGCGACCTGCGCGCGCGCCCACGTGCGGGCGTGCCGACATCTTTCAAAATCCGAAGGGTCTGTGAGGATGTCGACACCGAGTGCCCAGAGCACATGAAACTACACATGGTTTCGTGACAGGGGTGTTCAAACAGAAAGCCCGCGCCCGTGCTATTGCGAATTCTTCAGCAAACCATCAGAGTTTCAACATTGTCATAATACGCTGCTACCGAACGGGCTTTTTGCTCGCGCACGTCGAAATCGCTCGAGCGCCCGAGCGCGCGCGTTGTCGCGAGCATCCCTCGTGGAACATGAGGCGGAATGCACGCCCGCGCGTAGTCGCGCGCGCGTGCCGGGCTCAGTCGAAACCGTCAGGTTTCGCATGGATGGCAAAAGTGCGCGCCCCGAACGCATCGAAACGCGTGGTTTTGCAGCGTCAGTCTGCAGAAAAAAGACCTGCGCGCGCGCTCCGGCGAAGTCTTGATAAACAACCGCTTGTTTGCCAGCGCGTTCATTACATTCTGCCGAGCGGGTTTTTTCGCGCCGCGCTTGGAGCTCGCCCGAGCGTCCTCGCGCGCCTGCTGGGGGACACGATGCGCGCCACATAGTGCCGCGCGGGCCGCTCGAGCGCGTCGGCCGCGCGCGCGCGTCGAACTCCGTCGGAAACCATCATCGCCGACGCGAGGGCATCGTCATCGTTATCGGCGGGCGCGATCAACGTCGGTGCCGCCGTTGGCCTTGCCGTCGTCATCGCCGCCGTCGTCGCCATCGTCGCTGCTTTCGTCATCGCGTCCACCGCTGTCGGCGTCGCCGTGATGCTGCGCCCGCCCGCGTCGCTGACCCGCGCTGAAGTGCCAAGTTGTCGGCGCTGCCGCGGCCGCGCCGGCCCCGCGCTAGCTGGCCGCTGCGCGCGCGAGCATGCGCGGGCAAGCGCGGCTGCGGAGATGCACC